CGCGGTCGAACTCGGGCCCAGATCCGTTCGCTTCGAGTAGATAAGACACGAAAAGAGGATGCCATAAAATAACGGTCGGTGTCGGTCGGCCGCTTTCTCCTTTTTTTTTATCTGAATTCCTGACGAGCGCGTCAGGGAAGTCTCGATCCGCGCACGTAATGCAATATGGTTTGATTTTTTATTTTTTTTTCTCACGTACCCGGAGTTGAGGCGGATTCAAGTCTTGGATGCGACTCCGTGATGATGATGTATCCCCCAGGGCGGATTCTCTTCTGGGATGGTGGGCGGTTGTGATCTATGGTAACGTCTCCTGGGCGTTGTGCATTCACGAGTTTTTGATGGTCGCGTAGTTCGCGGTAGTTCGTTGGTACGCGATGATCGCGGAGTTGGAAAGGAAGTAGAGGGTAATGATAATAATATTGAGACAGGTGATTATTTTCAATTGATGACACTGTATTCTAAAGCACTCGCATCACACTTAGTTAATATTAAATTGCAACTACAACTTAGGATTATTACGTGAATTTGAATTACGCTAAGAATTTTAACTAAAATTAGAACTTGGAATTAAACTTGAAATCAAGTACACTGGAATTTGGAAGACGACGGTCGTAGTTGAACTCGAGAGAGCTCTGAAGGGACGGGATCTCTCAGATTTAGTAGTGAGCACCAAGTGACCGAAGGGACACGCTAAAATGGCGCTCTCGGTCCCTGGTTTTTTGCGCGCCTCACTGTTCTGAGTGGTGGGGGAACAGAGAAGCGCGCCATGATGCGTGGCGTGGGTTGCGCAAAGAATAGATCTTATGGAACTTATACTCTATTTACGTTCTAATGGAATACTTAAGATCTAACGAAATATAGTTATTGCGGAAGTGCGCCGTTGCGTAGCGTTGTATGAGGGAGCTGACCGCCGCGTTCACTACGGCGGCTTATGATGTTCGCGAGAAAGAGAAAGAGAGAGAGAGAGAGAGAGATAAAATGATCAAAACGAAAAAGTGGAAAGGTAGCAAAAAAAGATTATCTCTAATAATAGGCTCCCCCGGACGTAACACTACTATTAGTTCTTTAATACCAAATTATCTTCAAGAAATTGCCTTGAATCGTTATAACCGAAAGAAACTTCCTCCAAATACCCGGCTTGAGAAGGTTATCTACAATTTCAATGGCATCTGGCGTTAGTCACCCGAAAGGATTATCTCCTAAATTCTAATAGTAGTGGGTCGGCGCTCACTTGAACATATATCATGAAGCAATTGACAAATGGCAATTGACAAATCTATAAGAAGTTGACAAGTTGTTTACAACATTCCCAATTGAACAAGAAATTGACATGCGGTTAATATTTTAACTTAATCGTTTTCTATTGTCATCGCCTTTTTACTTGCTTAACACATAATTGTTAACAAATTTTGTAATTGAATAGAGCGTGCCAGGTGTAGGATTTTTAAGGATAGTTAAGCAAAGTACGATAGTTCATTGCGTTGAGGTGTATCCTCAACGCTCCCTTATATCGTACGGAAATTTATTTCTTTTGTGAAAGGAAGCAGTTTGCGATCCCATCGACGCTTAAGGCGGACAAGGTGAACCTCTTTCACGCACGGGGATCACTATCAAAGAAACGTTCCCTTCTCTGGTGCAGAACACTAGTAATAGAAGAAAGAAAAGATAGAGAAAGAGAAGAAGCTTATGTAATTAAGGATAAAAGGGGAGTATTGGGAACGTGCGCTCACTGTTCAATGTTAACGTAATATTTTCCTCTATTCTTTAATTGATCTTTAATTGATCTCGCGGTGCGATGACAACAGTTGCAGGTTGTGTTAATTTCGCGATTTAAAATCCTCCATAAGAGTAGTATGGTCGATCAAGATTTACTACCCGATAAATGGTTCTAAAATCCTTTATTATATATGCAAAATACAATTTCGATTCTCGGTACAATATTTGAAACATGCAATCGTATTGAGTGTATTATTCTATTTCTCGAGTAATTGGATGCATTTGCGTACTAACTTGTGAATGATACAGAACTCAGACAGATTATTAATAACTTACAGAATTGCCGTGGCAAGGCTATTTGAAGGAGGACTGTTACGACGAGTGCATAGCGGAAACCAGTCGATATTCACAAAAAGTATTCTGGAGACTTTAGTGTCGGCACAATAGGTGATTTAAGCTTTAAGAAGTAAGAAATTGACCAATTATAATCGAATATGAAAAGAATATTCGACTATTAATCAATTTCTTACGGCTTAAGATTAAATACTTATTGTGAACCAACACTTACAGAAGCGCGCAGTCTTTAATTAATAAATTTGGCTGCTTTAATATTCGCACAGAGTATAAGTTCCTTAAAAATTTATCGATATGGAGATGTTGCAGAGATATTACGGAGATACACACTCTTTAATTAATAATTAATAATTTTGACTGCTTCGCGGGCGCTCCTTAGATAGCCCTTATATATTCTCGGATTGCGTCAGGCCTCGACATTCCAGCACGAAGTGTTTATATAAACTAACATGACTCCGAATTATTTTTCCAAGAACCAAATGTAAACGAACATGCTCGTTCGGCATATCAAAAGAAAACGGAGTCTGTAATTTAATATCATGGATGCCGTCTTTAAGAGAGTAAATTATTTTAAATTCTTTTTAAAGCAATTCGTGTATATATATATATGTGTGTGTGTGTGTGTGTGTGTGTGTGTGTGTGTGTGTGTGTGTGTGTGTGTGTGTGTGTGTGTGTGTGTGTAATATATATATATACACGTAATAGATATATATATATATATATATATATATATATACATATATCTGTATGTTTAACGTTCTGTAATTTTCTGTAGTACACAAAAAAATGTATAGTTATTATATTTAAAATTGTCTGAACACAGTGAGTATAAGCATTAATATTATATTTTCCTTATTTCAGGAATTACAGATTTTGTCATTTTAGTTTCCTAAAATCGGGAATAAATGTTTCTATTAAATTCTAATAAAATCTTTAAATTAAGTAACTTGCGTTTTAATTTCACATTTCACATATTGGATTTAATTTTCCGAGTGCTTATATGCTTATTGCATCCGTAAGATTTTATAAGTTTCCATAAATCTTATTAAACTATAGTTAATAATAACTATAGTTTATGGCGGACACGAATATAGGGTGTTCGTAAAATATACTATATGGTAGATGGTACGCGTGTATTTTACAGGTGATATCTTTTTAAGAGACACAAATAGAGCAAGGTACGAGTGATTCATGCATCGGTGATAGCGTCATTGCTTAGTGTTATTCTTTCATAAGAGCGGTTTTCCCTATTCCTTTCCTTATTTCTCGTTTTTCGCAAGATTTTATATTAGGTCGAAAGAGGGGGTAAATTGACATTATTTACTATGAATATTTGCTAATAGAAATTTAGTATCAAATGTTTATGACAATTGACTTTATGAAATTTTATTGTTAATTTATTTTATAACAATATATTTAGTTGATTCTTTACAATAAATAATTGTGAATTGGTAACCTTTTACAATAAATAATTGTGAATATCTCGAGAATGAAACGTCGGATCGATGTCGGACCTTTACTAGTACACTCAGGGGGGTAAGAGGAATGCTGAGAGAAAGTTGCAAAATTATAAACAAATGGAATTATCTCGGAAACTATTGGTTGTATTAAGAAAATTTAAACGTGGTATTTTACAATTAACATAGGGCTATCAAATAGCGTTATCATTTTGATTTGTTATCAGGGGATCGCCACCTTGAAATTTTACAATTTTAAATTTTTACAATTTTCCGAAAAATCTCTTTTATGCTCTCGTTATCGTTATTAAATTGATCACTTTACAAATTTAAGTTTATCTCGTTATTCGCAGAATTTTGAATGACGTCATTATGATCTTATTTATTTGTGCCTTTTTGCAAATTTTATTATTATCTCCTTATTCCCTGTGTGAAATATAGCTAATTTTGTTAACAATACTCTTTTTTATTTTGTCTTATCAATGTATGAGAGTTAAGTTTAAAGCGAAGCCAATTTGATTTAGACCATCTGTTGGTTTCGCAAGGAACTATCTATCAGTAATATAGAAAACTTTATTCGTGTGACATCTATACGACCATAAGACAAACTAGCTCCATAAGAGACATATATAATAATAAAATAAACTACTTCCGAACTTTTAATGGTAAGAGCTTTAGTATTCCAAAATTCCAGCTTTAGTAGTCCAAAATTAAGTTATAATATTATTTTTTATTGTTATTATTACCGATTGCGGTCCTTAATAAGCCGTGTATAAACAAAATAAAGGTTAGGATGAACAAAAGTAATTTTACTTGTTATGACAATTATTTCATCGGTCGGAAAAGACGTGACACTTTTAATAGTCAAAAATAAATATTTGTCAGGTTGGCAATATAATAGAATGAAAAACGACGGGACGTCACAATATAT